TGTTTTGCCCTAGGGGTGTTGTCAATTAATCAGATCGACCGAAACCAGGCCCCGGTTGTTCGAAAGCCGATTAGCGCTAACCCACGATTAAATCGCCCTAACCCAAGAATAAAATTTAACCTACGATTAGTTTCTGTTCCTGAAAGCGCTATCCCAGGGTTAAAATAAAGGTTAACTTTAACACACCTAGCGAGGTGGATTAACTCACTAATCGAGGGAAAACTTTCCCCAAACAAAACAAAATGGCCGACTTATTACTTGGCGGATTAGGCTTGATGCCGGCCCCAAGAAGGAAAGAAAGGACATTTAGGCTACCAGACGACTTTTCCCTGTCCAATTTTACTGATGAAGAATTGAGAAGTCGATATCGTTTTGGCCGAGAGTCCATAGAATTTTTATCTGAGCTCCTTCGCGACGATCTTGAAAGAGATACATCTCGAAACCGTGCATTGTCGACAACTGTGCAAGTCCTTGTAGCGTTGCGCTTTTTCGCCTCCGGAAGCTTTCTTCAAGTTATTGGAGATACTCTGGGCCTGTCAAAGTCATCCGTGTCCCGTATAATCGGTCAAGTTTCGCTTGCCCTTGCACAGAAACAAAGAAACTTCATCAAGTGGCCATCGACCGAAGAGGAGATACTTCAAAACAAACGCGGTTTTTTTACCAAGGGGGGATTTCCTGGGGTGATTGGCTGTGTTGACGGCACTCACATCAAGATTCAGGCACCACATGAAAACGAAAACGATTTCGTCAATCGTAAAGGGTTCCATTCCATAAATGTGCAAGCAATTTGCAATCACAAAGGTAGGTAAAATACTCAAATGTCACAATTAGTGTTCTATAAAAATTGCAAAATAACCTTTGGCAGGGAGGGGTACTCCCCTTATAGAAGGTTTTAGATTGAGATTTCTAGCACACCAGCTGCTATGGGGTTGCATTGTTGGGAGTTACTAGATTGCAGTTTCACATATTCAGGAAATGGGAGTAGTGATAAAATTTTTTTTAAAATATTTTTTGAGTCAAATGGTATAGGTGGAGTTTGGTTTGCAAACACACATACCGAAAATTTACCAAAATTATCACACCAATATTTTAGTGACAGTATAAAAAAGTAAAAAACAAGGGAAAAAAGCAAGAAATAATGTGGAACATTTGTGAATATATTGCTCAGCTAATGACCAACAGAGTGCAACAATCAGCAGGGATTTCAAAATGATGCAGTCTCCCAAATTTCAAAAACCAATTAAACAATGAAAAGGTTTTCCAAGTAAACTAAATATTTGTATCAGTTACCCCAGTTCATCATAGACACAATTATTGTTGTTCCTCTTTGCAGTACATTATTGTTATAAACTGAGATGAGATTTTCTACATCATAGGTAAGAACTGGTCACATAACTTCTTTGCTGTTTTATTTTAGGCATGTTTACCAACATTGTAGCACGATGGCCAGGCAGCACCCATGACAGCTTCATATTTAGGGATTCAAGAATTGGCCAACAACTTAACATCCAACACCAGTCCCTGGAAGATGGTTTACTGTTGGGTGACAGTGGTTACCCTTGCAAGCCGTACCTGATGACCCCTTACCTGAATCCAGTCACTGACAAGCAGCAAGAGTTCAACAGTGCCCACAAAAGAACAAGAGTGGCAATAGAACAAGCCTTTGGCTGGTGGAAGCGAAGGTTCCATCTGCTTCATTCTGAGATCAGAATGAAGCCAGAAAAAGTGTCCATCATTATCGGAGCATGTGCAGTTTTACATAACATTGCAATTCTGAGAAAGGAACCTTTGGATGGCTATGCTGAGGCTGATGATCAACCTAATCTTGTTTGCTTCCGGGGTCCAGAGGATGGCAAGGTCATCCGAGACCACATCTGCAACACCTTTTTTTTCTGACAATTTTTAATTTTTGTATTTCTGCCTTATGCAATCAGTTTTGCTCTTAATTTAACTTCCCATAAAAATATAAAAATTCATATATGCATTTAAGGGGTTTCTGGTTGAAAAAAAACACATTAAAATAAGTTTGACTCAAGAATCTGTTTTATTACATTAAAATACATTTTGAGAACAAAATACATTGTGTATGTTTTATAATAAATTATACGAGAACAACATTTGCCCAAAATATTTTTTTTTAAGAGGACTTATTACACTATTCCTCCTTTAAAATGAATCGGTGTTGGGAACTACAAAATTTGCATTTAATGCAGTTGCGAAGGTTTGGTTTGCATTGACCTGTTGCTCCAGAAGATGAATTTGCATTTTCAATTTTTGTTTTTAAGATTCAACATTTCCTTCTGAGTACACAGGCATTCGTACTGCATTTTTAAAACATCGCCATTACTTATCCTTTTTGAAGGCTTCCTCTGTTCATCAACCTTGGCTGGTGAAGAATGCATGTCTTCATTAAGGCTCAGACAGTCTTCTTCAAACACAGTCTTCGCAGACTCTGCTGGTAAATGAGCATCTTCTCCTACAAAATATTTTCAAGCACAATTAAGGTTTCACTCAGGCTCAAAAAGTGTGAATTTAGTTTTATGCATGACATAAATGAAATAACAGAAGGAGCATCTCTCCCGCAAGGAATCTGAGGCTTAAACATGTAAAAATAAATTATTCAATTTCATAAAATGAATTTGTGTACTGGTAGACTTAACTCAGTGAAATCATTCACGAAAATGCTTATAAAATCTGTAAATCATGTACCAAAAGTTAAGTTTTATTTTAGACAGATAAAGGGGAATCAGAGCGAATCGACAACGAGAACCGTACCACAGTTTAGTGATCGAAAAAATAGGACATGATAACAGGTACAACAACAAATTATTTCGTCAATCACAAACATAAACAAAGTTGCGTCAAAACGAAATAATAAAAATTAGTTATTTACACATGTAAATAGCCGATCGTAAATATTTGAAGAACACTCCTTAGTACAAGATAAATAAAGAAATAATAGGAGCACTTTGTCTTTGGCAAAACGAATTTTAACCGAATTATAAACCGTATCCGAGACATTCTTCGAAATCAAAGGTTTTTGTCTCACTCATCAGATCGCTTTCCAAAATGACGGAGCTATGCAATCTTCGACATATGAATTAATCAAGTGAAGCTGAAATTTATATATATGTCTGCTAAATTACTGACAGTCCGTCATGAGCGTTCGTCTATATTCAGCTTAAAACAGGGTTTAATCGAATGCAACCCTATAAATGCCGCAAAAGCAGCAAACCGGTTTGGAGTTCTCCGTAGCAGCCTTCGCTTAGTGAAGTACACTCATGAAATGTGACGGGATAATAAACTAAACAAGGTAAAACTTGATTAATACAGTTACGGATATTGGAAAAAAAAACATGCAAACTTATCTTTTCCTCCCTTGTGTCCGAACATTTCGTATGCTCAAAGACGGGAAAGCGATTGATAAGCTGAAAACCCCGCCGAAACAACATGGCCGGTTGACTGTCTACAATTTTAAAACTTTTGGTAACCTAGAAACAATAGAGAATTGTTTACAAACCTGTCTCAAAGCCAATCAAACCGCTGAACGCCGGCGTGTCCTCAAGCACCTCAATAATCTCTTTGCTGGCAACACTCGGCGACTTTGGAGGCCGACCACCTCCAGTTATCTTGGTCTCCCTCTTGAATTCTGCAAATTCTTTCTTGGCGATGCTATGGAGATTTTTCCACTTGTCTTTTACCTCCGTGACTGTTCGCTTGGCTGTTCCGACCGCATTTACCGCTTGGGTTATTTCTTCCCATAGCATTTGTTTCTTTTTGTTGGTCACAGCATTCGTTAATTTGGATTGGATTAAATCGAGATTTTTTTGACATTATCGGTGATGACTTCAATCTCATAAACTGAAAAATTATGCTTTCTTTTTCTATCTTTCGTTTGGTTTCCACTTCCATGTGCACTCTCCCTTTCCGCCATTTTTCCCTCAATTTTTTTTTTCGCGCGTAGCCGCGTAGCTCTTAATAACCGGTTTGACTGGTTTAACCTCAGCTTAATCGTGGGATAGTTAATCAAGGGATAAATCTGCTTTCAGGAACGTTATTTTAAACCTAGATTAGCTATCCTTGGGATAAGAAATTTAATCGTCGATTAACCTCTAATCGAGGGATAATTTAATCGGCTTTCGAACAACCGGGGCCAGGTCGACAACTTACGAACCAGCCAAACATTTCGTTAACAGCGCCATCGATTAAAATGTCATTACACTCCAACAAAAGACCCGCTTTTCTGTTCAAATCTGCCAGAAACTGGCTCAAACGCACTTCCTTTTCCATGAGTACACTGTAAAATACGCTTTAACAAGAATAAGCCGAAGTCACATTGTAAACTGCGGATACTCATACAAGATGCCGCTGATATGTCGTGGGCTCATCTGGTTTAAGACGATGTTATATAGTGCTTTCCGTGGGTTTAAGGCTGCGTGACGTCAGTTATTTGATACGCTAGTTGCACTCTTACTTTGTTTGTAATTCGCAACGGTCGATCTCGGCAAGACGCAAGTGATCCCGAGAAATGTTTCATAAATTCCGTACATCGTAACATTTTATCCCCTAAATCCGCTTAATGATAGTCAGATAAATAAAGTTCACTAAACTTCGTTTTTCTGTGTTTTCTCGAGTGATTTTGCGGGGTTTTGAGACGGTTAATACCCCACTTTGCACTCATGCCTCTCCAAAGACAAAGGTAAAACACCTTTGTAAACTCTTTTGCTTTTTGAAAATTACTTCCTTCCACATACCACACAACGATTTTAAGACTTTGACTCTTCTATCCAAGTTACAGAGAGAAAAATGACAAGAAAGGTTGTCTCAAATACTCGATCTACTGTTGTTTTCCGACGCATTTTCACTCCACAATGATTAATCAGCGTTAAACCGATGCAGGCGCATACCAGCGGTTTCTCGCATGAAACAAAGATTCACAGAATACGCGCTAATGAAGTTCCCTTCTAAACCAGCCTGATTTTCGTGAAGAAAGGTTAATCATGAATCAGACGTTTGCTGAAGAATACGCGGAGTTAATAACCTTTGTCTACTATTGTAGTAATATTTCCCTTACAGCCGTCGTCTTTCTATTTGGAACCTGTTTCTTGTGGTACAGAGATCGGAAATACCAAAAAAGGAAGGACGACGAGGAAGGAAGAAACCATCAGAGGCGCGAATGGCGCAAGTTCGCGGAAAGAATGAACGATGATTACAGGAATCTGAGAAGTAACCAGACCCTTGAGAACATATTAAAGGTAAAGAAAACTTTTGAAGACTTGAAAGTTCATTCTAAAGTAACTGGCCTTGATGTTTTGAGATACTGGCTCGCTGATGATCGCCACCGAAATGTTTGGAGTGAGTCACCCCAGCTGAGGGCCCTTCGTGAAGACCTCCACAGGATCTTCTTGCAGCTAAATTTCTGCTCTTCGTTGATCCATTTAGGAGAAGTGCCCAAAAATATAACGGAAGAATTACGATATGTAGTAGAGGAATTGGGGAATGTAGCAAAGCCTTTCTTAACAGGTGATAAACTAAAGGTCGCTTCGACATGCCTCAAACATTTTGGCATGCCGGTCAAGAAAGAAGAAGAAGAAGAAGGAGGAGGAGTAGGAGGAGAAGAAGAAGAAAAAAAGCTTTATGAGTTGGTTGAAGGAAACATTCCGTATTTAGACAGCCTAAAGTTTGGTGATAATGATGATAGGGATAGTTCAACATCATCACCACCCCCTCCTGTAGATTATAGCCAGTCCAAATTTTTTTTTAATGTGAGCATGCCAGACGACAAACATAATTTCCTCTGGGAGCTCCATGATAATCTAGAAACGGGAGAGTATAGGACCCTTTTAGTCAGAGGGTTTAAAGAACGACAAGCAGAGCCACCTCCAAACTTGACCGACCCTATCGGTGACGAGGATAGCGATGAGGTAGTTCTCGCAAAGGTGCTGCATGAGGTACGTTACTATATCCATCATCTTCAGAACAACCGAGAGCTATGGGAGACAGCAGTTAATGTGGGTAGACTACGTCAGGTTCATGAGGAAATAACGGGAACATTGATAGGAAATGCGTTCAAAGAACTTTTGAAGCGTTGTATATTTGATCTTCAAAACACTGTCAATAATTCTCCAGATGTTCTTAACGATGATGAGCTTTTTCGCGATTTTGGGAAATTCTGGGCGGAAGAAGTAATGACAAAATTTCTAACTACACCTCCGCCCCCCCAGCCTTCTGAGCAGGATCCACTACATTCTGAGCAAAGTCCCCTGCATTCTGAGCAAAGTCTCCGGCCTTCTGAGCAGTACCGCCAGCCTCATTTTCCTTTGGGATCTAATGGGGAGAATGAGGTAGTTGAATCATTAGAACTTCCTGATTCTTTGCCTTTGGAAATCAATGGGGAGAACAATGAAGACCAATCATTAAATCGTCCTGAAGAAACCAAAGTGTGAAATGTAAAAGATTCCTGCTTTTGGCTACTAATTGAGGATTGCATGAAAGATGTTGGCAGTTTTCAGACTGGTTAAATATATTTTTTTTTAGTGTAGGCATATTGTTACCATGCAGTTTTAGAAAGTAGTCTTTTTGAAAGTAGTCTTTTTGAACCACTACCAATTCCTTATTAGGCATAACTAGAGTATCAGCCCCATGAATTCTAATTTTCCTTGACCTAGCTCTTTACACCCTAATATCAGTATGCATATTCTCCATACTGTTCATCATACATTTCCTAAAGTGCAGACAAAGAGAATTTGTTTAACAATCTAGAGTTTCCTTCATTGGTGATCATTTCCATTATTCCTGTGACCTTTATGTGTGATTCAGGGAAGATATTGCAAGTAGAAATTAGATGTTAGTCACTCTTATGAGTGAAAGGGTGAATGTATTTCCTTGAAATATTAGTACTTGGATGCTTATTCAAATTTTCAGCTTGAGGAGGAGTGCTTACTGGAAGTTGGACTCTCAATCAAGGGGGACACTTCTCAAGTTTGCACAGCAACAGGACAAAAATTTAAAGAACAGATAATGCACATAAGACATTCTGTTAGTTAGCACATGGAGATAGAAATCACAGGAACAGGGAAGATACTATTCTCCTGTACTGATTCCTCTGTAGTTGACACTTAAAAAGTTGTGAATAAAGTGGCAAAACAGGTTTTCCTTATGTTCCTACAATTCATGAAAGTAAGGGAGGAGGGTGGGGGGGGGTGCCTATTCAAGAGGGGTACTTGTTTGACATTATGGCCTAGTAGGTGGGTACTTATTTAGTGGGGGGTTTGGTGCTTTTTATAGCGTGGGTGCTGACTTGCCCAGCTTTTAGTAGAGCTTGGTTAATGAGTTAATGGTTTTAGCTTATTTTTTTCTCTGTTTTGGTGGGAATTTTCCTAATTGCCTTTTGGGCTTGAAGTGTTAAGGATAGGAAAAAACCTCAATAGAACTTACTTTATCACATGACCCCAAATCCCTCAACACCAGTCTATTTACCACAAAAAATGCATGGGCTTTGTCTCATGAGTTTAAACTAGTGCCATTTTCTTCATCTTCATGTGTTATTTGAAACAGTGGCGTCGGCTTCATTTTGTCTTGTTTACTTCAGTAGTATGCCTCTGCCATGTGAAATGAAACACATTTCCTTGCAAATCAGTTACCAGAATTTGGTGTTAGATCAAGACAACAACTTCTACCTGATAAGTTTGAACATTCTTGTTACCTGTTTCATAGATAATGTATTGATATTATAGGGAGAAGTTACATGTTCATCACTACCAGGTGTTAAACAGTTTACAAATATAGATAAGCTCTTCAGACACTTTTAAATTAAGTTTTATCGATTAAATGAACAAAGCAATTGAATTAACTAAACAAAAACAAAAAAAGGCACCCCTAAATATTAGAATATCCTAGTATAACAATTTTTGGCTGAACTAATTGTAACATCCAATTAAATAAAAGATGATTACAAAGAGCCAAAGAGAAGTCAGAGTATTTGCTATGGTTATTGTTATCAATACTGTGATAGGTGTATTTAGCTGACTGGACTAAGTATGATTGGCTGGTTTGATTACAGGTGTCCGATTACAGCCACCTGTCCAGTTACACCATCCGATTACAACTGTACAGAATGATCAGTGAAGAATGAAACAGCTAATGCACCAATCACATTTGATGAAATAGTCACTGTTATAATTAACATATAGACATTATCAGGAAAAGAAAACTGTAAATGATCTGGCTAGTATAAGTTTAAGTCTTGCATCAGATTTGTCGAGATGGTGGCCAGTTTTTTAATCCAAACACAAAATGAATGTAATCCAGAGTACTTTTAACAATCAACAATTCAAAGCAAATACATGTATTCCATCAACCAGGTTCAAATTGATTTTCATTTTGCATCTGATCCCTATAACCCTTTAACTCTCAAGATTTCATTAGTAATTCTCCTTACTATCTCCCATACAGTTCTTGTGATGTCAATTTGGAGAATTTGGTATTAGATCATCTTATAATCCTCTAACTGATATTTTTCTTTATTCTCATTACTTGTCTGCTTGATACTGTATTGATATTGTAAGGAGAAATTCTGTCTTGGTTACTCATGGGAGTTAAAGGGTTAAGAAGGAAGAGCACATGGAGATAGGAATGAGGAAGAAACTATTATCTCGTGCTGATTACTCTGTAGTTGATGCTTAAAAAGTTGTAAATAAAGTAGCACTAGAAACAGGTTTCTCTTTATCCTTACTATTTGCAAAAGTGGAGAGGAGGGGGGGAGGGCTTATTTGCCTATTCGAGAGGGGTGCTTGTTTGACATTATGGGTAATTATTTAGGGGGGTTGGTGCTTTTGATAGCGTGGGAGCTTATCTGCTGAGCTTTCAGTAGAGCATGTCACAACTCACAATCGTTGATTTTTCAAGAAAAATTGACAATCAAATCCAGCACTTGGGTAGGGCATTTAAACACAATTTAGTGCCCTGGGGGGGTATTTAAACAAGCCAGTCTTAAAAAGTTCACTTGCCCATGGGTTGCCTAGGGGGGATATTAAATCTTTGAATTGACCTATGCATAAAATTTTGACAGTTGGTGCGTGACATAGTCATGAACATGCATGTGGACCTCAGGCCATCAATTGACAACAAGATTTTCTCAGCTTAATGAGTTACCATCAGAGGAAGTGTGCAGAAAAGCCACTTGCAACTTCAAGAAGATCAGCCAATAAAAAAGTGAATGTTTATGTATTTCAGACTATCATCTCATCCATGATCAGTTTCCTCAGTATCAACTGTTTTTATCTCTTGTTCCAGATGGAATACAATGATTGTTACCTCAAAGTTATTCAGTGCGCTTTGCGGGATTGCCACCTTTTTGTAATACTTTTTGAGTCTTGCCCCGATCATCTCCAGTTTTGACATATTTTTTTCTATGTTACAGTGGGAATTTTCTGAATTGCCTTTTTGGGCTCGAAGTGGTAACTAGAAGGAAAACCTTGGTGGAACCTATTCAGTATCACATGGCCCCAAATCCCTCACCACTAGTCCATCAACCTCAAACCAAAACAAATACATGGGCTTTGTCTCATGAATTTAAACTGGTGCCATTTTCTTCATGTTCATGTGTTATTCAAAATGAATGGCATCAGCCTCGTTCAGTCTTGTTTATTTCAGTAGAACACTTCTGCCATGCAAAATGAATTTTGAGTGGAAGTACATTATGATGCTTTCAGATTAAAATAATCCAACTTTCTTTGATTCTTAAAACATGAGATGAATGGTACAATAAATGGATAATAACTTAGGGGGCTGGAACTCCTTGTTTCTTTGGAATGTTGAATACAGTATTTCTGTTACATTTAAAAACGAATTTCAAGTCAAAAGTATATTCAACCCAGTATTACTTGTATTTCACTTTCTAGAAATGTCTTGATCCTTCAATTGTTATTTCTTAATTGCAATTGATAATAGGAATTGACTTTTATGTTCTCTGCTGTTTAAGGAGATGTGAAGTGACCTCTGTACATGTAGTTGGTACTATTGACAGAATGGATAGGTGTGACATTTACTGTGGCAAGCTGGTGTTCCAGAGATTGTCATTAGTACCAGAAGCTTACTACTGGTTTAAATCATCAGTCTTTGTTCTCTCTATGTTCATATAGCTTATGCAATATGAAAATTTTGTCTATTCTTTGTGACATTATGCTATTATGCTATATGCAAATTGTGTCTATACTTTATTTGTAACTGTAAAATTACCAATTAAGTTTTTGAAATTTTTGTCCAATTTCACTGGATAAGAATATGAGGAATGATTAGGTGAAATATTGTTATGTTCCCTAAGAGTGTCTGAGCTTCCAGGATGAGAGCTATAAAATATTTTAATTGACTGATGTAGGATTTGTCTGCCATAAAATTGGCACAGCCAAACCCTTAGCTAAAAAACTATAAATTACCTCAAATAGGCAGCCAAGTAGATGCCCATTACTAAATAATATGCAACATCAAAGTTCCCTTTTGACTTAAGTCTCTAAAATCTGATTGATGTAAATCATCCATTTTCATAAAGAGATCAACAAAACTCTCCACATTATTTTAATCTGACTTCATTCAGTCTTGTTCCCAGGAAAAAATGGCTTTATCCTCAGTGATAATCCTACTAGTTCCTTGTTTTTTGGTTGGTAAAATGAGTCTTTTCAGACCATTGAAAGGATAAATGAATTTGGTATTTGTTAGGAAATAATTGATTCATTAACTATTCTTAATACAAATGGAAGCAGAAACTACTGCCTGTTTTACTTCACAATTTTGCCACCTTTCAGAAAGTATATTTAGAAGCTAAGTATGTAAAATTCTGATTTGATGGAAAGCAAGGAGAATGTAAATTAATCGTTCCCATCACTGGTCACACTTTTGGGCTCATTAGGCAAATGCAACAGGCTGGTTTTCCTTGCCTTTGTACATACCCCTGCACTCAAGGTGAAATTCTCATCTGTCGAGGCTTTGGGGTAGTTTAACCAAAATAAAGTACTAAAATCTTCATGAAATTTTTTGCATCATTGATCATATCTAACAATATATCGGAGACTAATGATTGAGAATAACTTCTTTACTCTGAGGAAATCCACAATTGTTCCTCCATTTCCAACGAGCTCTCAGCTCTCAGACCTGGTAATTTTACAGTTACAAATAAAGTATAGACACAATTTGCATATAGCATAATAGCATAATGTCACAAAGAATAGACAAAATTTTCATATAGCATAAGCTAGTCGAGGCAAGTTGTATAGAGAGAGAACAAAAGACCGATAATTTAAATCAACAGTCAGCGCTTGCCACAGTAAATGTTACACCTTTCCATTCTGTCAATAATACCAACTACAAGTATGGATGTCACTTAACATCTCCTTTAACAGCAGAGAACATAAAAGTTAATTCCTATCATCAATCGCAATTAAGTAATAACGACCGTATCTATATCTGCCGTGGTAAACTTACTTTTCTTTACTTGATATGATGGACATTGACCTATTTTCTTTTGGCTATCGGCCCCGCCGGTTGTGGTTCATGTCAAAAAAAACTTTCGAAATAAAACAGAAGTCTGCAAACTTAAATTCGTCGCTAGCAGAACTATTGAAGCTCTACAAAACGCTCACAGGAAAGTGAGTGCCTCAAATGATCAACCATAACTTGAGATAGCAATGAAACGATCAAAGTATACTATGAAATACGTCTGCGCTCTTCGGCAGGCCTCTTGCATTTTTCA